CTTTATATGTTTGCTATAGAACTTACAGTTACTTCATGTAATAAAGCTGAAGTTCATAATGTTGTCGCTTCTAGTATGTTTGAACTTTGGCATAGGAGATTAGGACATCCTGCCTTTCAAACACTAAAAGATGTGTGTACTTCGATCAATGTCAATATTTCAAAAGCTCTTAATTCCACTTGTGTTGCCTGTTGCATGGGAAAGAGCCACAAGATGCCCTTTGATTCTTCTACTACAGTTTATAGCAATCCTTTTCAACTAGTTTATACCGATCTTTGGGGTGCTGCACATGTTCCCTCCTGTGGCTATCGGTACTACGTTTCATTTGTAGACGCATGCACACGCCATACTTGGGTTTACATACTCAAAAATAAGTCTCAGGCTCTTGATGCATTTCGGTTATTTCAATCAATGGTTGGAACTCAGTTTTCTTTGACCATTAAATCAGTTCAAAGTGATTAGGGAGGTGAATATAGGCAGTTGTCATGTGAGCTGACTCGTGCAGGTATCTCCCATCGAGTCACATGTCCGCACTCCTCTGAACAAAATGGCGTTGTAGAATGGAAGCATCGCCATTTAATCGAACTGGCTCTTGTGCTACTTGCCCAGGAAGCCCTTCCATTCAGATTTTGGTCTTATGTTGTGGCCACAGCAGCACATTTAATAAACCGGTTACCAACAAGGGTGTTAGGTAACATCTCACCATTTGAAAAATTATTTGGATCCAAACCTAACTACAAGTCACTACGCATGTTTGGTTGTCGGTGTTTTTCTCATTTGAGGCCGTTTCAACAACACAAGCTAACGTTTCACTCTTCTCCGTGTGTGTTCTTGGGTTACAACTCCCAGCACAGAGGATTTCAGTGTCTTGCTCAGGATGGTAGAGTGTATATTTCGAGACATGTCAAATTTGATGAAGATGTGTTTCCGTTTACAGAGAAACAACAATCTGGTTGTATATCTGATAACCGTGCGTGGCAATCGGCACCTTTACCGATTGTGTCAAACCGAGTACACGCAAAGGATGTGGCTGAACCTTCAATACATTCTCACACGTCTTCGTATATGCATGAAGACTCTAGTAGTCAACATGATGTGGGTTCCAGTGTACAAGGTGCTGCTGATAATTTAGCTGAACAAGCAGCACAGCTGAGTCTCAAGATACTGTATATACCCAGCTATCTCCTGCAGCGCCTGAGCATCTAACTAATGATCACATGCAGGCTGCTCCTGAGCAAAATCTGACATTGCCAAATCAGCATCCCATGTTAACAAGGAGCAAGTGCGGGATCTTTAAGCCCAAGGCATTTGTTAGTTCCTTGAATGACTCTCTTCCTACATCCATTGATGAAGTGATGAAGTCTAAAGAATGGAGTGCAACAGTTCATGCTGAACTCACTGCACTTCAGAACAATAACACATGGACGCTTGTGAAGCTACCTGAAGGGCGAACCACGGTAGGTTACAAGTGGCTCTTTAAGATAAAGCATAATTCTGATGGGTCCGTGGAACGATACAAGGCACGACTGGTGGCTAAAGGGTACTCTCAGGTGCCCGAGAAAGATTTTAAGGAAACCTTCAGTCCTGTTGTTCGATTCTCCACGCTGAATGTCGTCCTTGCTCTTGTCGTATCTGGAGGCTGGTCATTGAGACAGGTGGATGTCAACAATGCATTCCTTCACGGTGATTTGCATGAAGAAGTATACATGCATCAGCCACCTGGTTTCGAGCAATACACTCCCGATGGTGGTAAGTTAGTTTGCAAGCTTCAAAAATCTTTGTACGGTCTGCGTCAAGCACCACGAAACTGGCATGCTAAGTTGAAGAACAATGTGCTTCATCTTGGTTTCAAGGAGTCCAGAGCCGATGCTTCTCTGTTTGTTTTAACAGAAGATGGAGTATCGACTTATGTTTTAGTTTACGTTGATGATATAATAGTCACAGGACAGTCGTCGGATGGAATTGAGAAAGTGGTGCTGCTATTGAAAAATCAGTTTGCCTTAAAAGACTTAGGTGAGTTGCATTACTTCTTAGGTATTGAAGTAAAACGATGTGATCAATTGTTGTTTCTTAGTCAAAAACAGTACATATTGGAACTACTTGAGAAGGCGCGAATGGTCAAAGCTACATCCACAGCTACTCCCATGGTTGCTTCGTTCAAGATGAATAAGGATAAAGGACACTTGCTTGCTGATGCTCGTGAATTTCGCAGTTTGGTAGGTGGTCTACTCTATGTTTGTCACACAAGGCCTGATATTGCCTTCAGTGTGAACAAGGTGGCCCAGTATATGAATGCTCATCGAGAGCAACACTTACTTGCTGCTAAGCGCATTCTACGTTACCTGGCAGGGACACTGAACTATGGTCTTGCATTTGTACCAGGTAGATTACAAGTTTCAGCCTTCTCGGATGCTGACTGGGGGGGTTGTGCTGATGACAGGAGATCAATGTCTGGTCACTGTGTTTTTATTGGAGACAGTCTCGTGTCATGGAATGCAAAAAAACAAAAGGTAGTTTCCCGGTCTACCATGGAAGCTGAGTATAGGAGTCTTGCGGATGCTGCAGCAGAGGTAGCGTGGGTCGATGCTTTGCTTGCTGACTTGAAAGTGCCACGTGATAAGCAGTCCACTATATGGTGCGACAACACGAGTGCAATTTCTCTAAGTGCTAATCTCGTATATCATTCGCAGCCCAAACATGTGGACTTAGATGTTCATTTTGTCCGAGAAAAAATTGCAGCAAATCAGCTCTATGCGAGCTATGTTCCTGCAGCTCATCAAGCTGCTGATGGTTTGACCAAGCCATTGTCAAAATCAGCATTTATTTGCTTTCGTGATAAGCTAAAAGTTTGGTTGATTGCTGAAGACGAGAAGAAGTAGGGAGAATGTTGAGAGTTGCTGCGTATGGTATAGCAGTCCCATGGAAGCTCCTGTGCGTGCGTGTGTATAGGATGGTTAAAGATGATTCTAGAGGTTGTTAGTTACAAGAATGGTATTACTAATTGTGTAACAGAATTCTGTTGAGAAGTTTTTTCAAGCTTGATAAAGATGTTATATAAGCTGAAAGAATGTAAGCATGAAGGGTATTAATTTTCTGATTCAATAAAGAAATTACACAAGTTTTGAAGGAATTTTCCAGCTTCTCAACAACTATGCATCTTATGTGTTTTCTCCTCAATTCGGAGTTTTGATATGTCTCGTAAAGCATTTTATATTCAATTTAAACTCAGAATTATACAGGTTTTATATGTTATTTACATGGACATATTTATTAATTTCAAATAATAATATTTAAATTTGGATATTTTATAATTTAAAATGTTTTAGATCACGATAAAATTAGATTTATATATAGTACAATATTTGTTTCAATATCATAAACTAATTTGATTCTCATTTAGATGATAGTATAAGATATGTAGAATTTTGTTCAATGTGTTATTTTAAATGTAAAGGATAGAGATAAAATCATTTTTCTAATGCAGTTAACCTAGGGCGGCAACATGTACATTTTAGATCTAAAATTTCTTCTATTATTTATTTATTTTATTAATTGCGTCCGTCCTGAAATTTTATTTATATCTATTATATACATTTCTAAAAAATATTTCTGCATCCACTATTGTTCTAATCTAATATTATGAACAAAGGAACATAAATGTGAAGCATGTTTTTGTTCAATGTAGTTTACCCTTGTAATAATGCAGTATATAAATGCATTGTTGACATTGTTGCTATGAGCTGTGACTGTGAAGGAAACAGAGCAACCAATGGAAAAAACAGGTGAAGCGAGTTGGAGTGAGCAAGTAGAGGATCCGGTGGCTTCCGGAGACACTCAAGCTGCTAGCAGTCACCTCGAAGACCTCATCTCCGAACCCCAAACCGCATCGTCCTCATCGTCTTCCGACGAACTCCGATTAACCTCTGCTCTCTCCTACTTAGCTTCCCTCTATTTCTCCATCGGCTTCTCCCTTAAATCCGATGAACTCTCTTCTCAAACACCGTGCTCACTCTTCAAGGCACCAGTTTTCTTTGTTTATCTTTCTTGTTTGTGTAAATGGTAGTAATTTCAAGGCTAAATTCCATGCCTTTCGTTTTTCTGAACTCCAGTTTGGGGCTGAAAAACAAGGACTTGAAGGATGAATCTTTAACGTTACCTAATACTGCAAATGAGAAGAACCCTTTGACTCATGGTTCAACTCAATATAATGTTTCTAACTTTCTATTGTGGCATAGTGTGATGGGAAAACTTAATATCTTACTATTTAGTTTTATTTTCATTCTTTGTTGATATCTTGCAACTTACCATTATTTTAATATTCCATTTTTTTAAATTTATTTTGTTTAAAAATGTTAATTCAACATTGGCAATTGATGAATAACATGAAAACCCTTTTCCACTAATGTAATTTTCATGTATCACCGACAAATAATTTTTGAACAAATTATTGCTTGATTAATTAATTAATTAATTTAAAAACAAATAAATTGAACAATATCATGACCAATAGCAATAATATTTGTTCCGTTACAATAATGTTTTTAAATCCAGTCATTTTTGTGTTTTACTATAATTTGTGTACATTTAAAAAAATCATGATTACGATATCTATAACGGTCGAAATAATATCCATTATGTTTATAATTACAATAAACACGTCATAATAGAAAATATGACAATAACTGTACGTAATTTAAATCAACGATGACGATGGTCGTGGTCGTTCCGGAGAGTTTACATCGAAGAGGATTGTGACTAGTGTTTGGCGCACATGGGGATATGAGGAGAAGTGAAACTTGCATACAATAAGTATCTTTTGTGGTGGTAAGGAGGACCCAGCAATTGAAGTGTACATGAAACGTAAATCTTAACAAAAGGAGAAGCTTATTTAAATATTCCGTTATCTTTTCATTATGATAAAAAGTACAAAGCAAATCAAAATAACAAAACATCCTTTCCTTCCTTATTTATCATCTGCCGTATGTATAAATATAGCATTTTTATTTTGGAAGATCTTCAATGAAAATAAGCTTTTTAGTACGGTTTTTCACCAATGACATTGCCTGCAGGGTAATGAAAGTTCCGCCATTGTTGCATGTCACCTTAGCACAACCGAGACGAACTGAGTTACGCCAAACCACTTGAGTGTAACGTCTGCAAACCTTGCCTGAAGCACAACTGTTGGAGACGTAATCGTAGTCGGCACCCTCATTAACCCACACTGTTACGGCATCGGTGCCCGATAGGTCGCCGCTGCTCCAGGCAAGGTTCTCACCGTAAGATCTGTTGGAAATATGGACTACAAAAGCACACAGTTAGCACTGATAGGAAAGATAAAAAATAATGTAAAAGGAACAGATTCGTAAATCGTGTCGTGGTAAAATCACTGCCTTAGAAACGAATTCGTCCCGATGTGTGTAATCGTTGCAGTAGGCGGACCGTCTCTCGAGGTTAACACGGTCGCTTCGAATTCCGTACACCCGAAACCGGAGTGGACTACTGATGATATTGCACTTCTGATCGGAAAGCACACAGAGAACAAGTGTAGAAAACATTTTGAGAGTGAATTGTGAATGTTGAGAGTGAGTTGAAAAGCTGAATTCAGTTATCTATTTATAGGCTAGAAATAGGGTTAAAATCGTCCATATAAAATCAGGATTAAAACCCTTCTTTGTAACAGCTGAAACATCTAGATGAATCTGACTCAGACATAGTCCAGGTTCATTGCATCATTATTCAGCTATTATAACTCCTGAAATTATATCATGTAACTCCTGAAATTATATCATGTAACTCCCGAAATTATATCATGTAACTCCCGTAACTCATGATATTAACAACTTGTCTCCTCTGTACAAAGCTGGAAATTAGTTTAGATATATCTTAACGTTTTTTTATTTAATTTAGGAAAAACTATTTAATTTATGATAACTCATAAATTAGCTGTTATCATTCGAATTTAAACAGTCCTCAGCAGTCTATAAATATCAGTTGAAATCTTTCACATTTTCCATTTGATTCTTTCAAAGAGAAATTCCTCAAGAATTTTCTCTAAAAAGATAGTATCCGCACGGATGTGTCGAAGACACGTATTACCACGACCACGAGAGTCGAGCCGAGTTGAGATGAGACAGACGACGGTGGCAACAATGCGCAAGAGTCCCCCTTATTCTCTTTCACTCAACAAGGAAGTGAGAAATTCAAACCTTAAATACCCATTCCCAATAGTATTTTCAATACTATGTGGGATTGAACATTACCAACAAGGTCCACCAGAGTGCACAAGGCTACAATCAGCAATGCTCTGATTAACATAGCTCTGTGCATAGGCAGCCACGGTGTTGTCCCAAGTTATAGGTTCAACGCCGACAGCTGCTCGAGCTGCGTTTGTGAGCGTCGAGGTAGTCTTGTGGCTAGTTTTGGGCATGGGAGGGAAAGACCAAGGCTAAGGCCATGGCCATGAGATAAGTAAGGGCTAGGGAAAACTCCATTTGAGATTAGATTCTATTAGGATAAAGCAATTAAGAGAAGATGAAGTATGAGGTGTATATTATGCGTTTTAATGGAGGAATTTATAGACAGTTATTATGTTGTCTGTTGAATGTTCAAATTAGGTTACCCTTCCAAGAATTGTTCTTTAATATTTAAGATATTTTCTTGAAATAAGAACCATTAGCGTTTAGAGCTGTTTTTCGCAATTTGGTTATATTATTTGCCGATTTTGTTATTTTAGAAAGTAATGGGAAGATGGTTTATTTTAAGGGTAAATTACACCAATCATCACTGAATTTTACTATCTACTATTTCACTCATTGTACTTTAAATACGTTCAATTTACTCACTGAACTTAATACATTTGGTTTTTTGGTCACTTCGTATTTTTCTCACTAATGGCATTATAAATTGACTGTTATATAAATGCAAAACAACCTCACCTTGGTGAAAATTTTGTTTCTTTTAAATGACGTCGTTTTAACACCATTAACTATTTAACGACGAAGTGACCAAAAAATCAAATATATTAAGTTTAGTGAGAAAATTGAACGGGTTTAAAGTACAATGAATGAAATAAGAAAAAAAATAAAATTAAGTGATAATTAATGTAATTCTCCCTCATTTTAATAGGAAATTGCATGTACCTCATGAAAGCCGCCTCATTTGTAATACTCAAACACGTAATGCTATTTACTGTATGAATTAGTCATAGTTTTTACTACAAAACACACATATATGTATTTGTTGTGTCTATACTTTTATTATTCTTTTTGAACCACACTGCAACTAGATAGGACACTAGGCTTTTCAAAATCAAAATTATATACACTGGTGAAATGAATTACGTTTAAATTAAATTAATTATAAATTTGTTTTTCTTTGATGACTATGAAAATTTATGTTTTCTTTTATCAAACCAAAATATAGTTAGAAATTATAAGACTAAATATAAAAAATGTTGTAAAAAAATATAAAGACAATCGTTCTATATAAATAACAAAAAAATTGATAAATATCTCTAAATGAAGAAAAGAAATTAAACATAAAAAAATCATAACACAACTTAAAACTGTCTATGAAAATAACGATATAATGTCATCTGATTGATTGAACTAATTTAATATATATATATATATATATATATTTCCCAACTTAAATTTTATTTCTATTATCAGTTTGATACTAAACTTTATTAATAAAAATAAATGTCTAAATTTGATTTTTTTTTATTTAAATTAACATATGGATTTAATTTTTTTATTCAAATTAATTAAAAAATCGTATGATTCAAATTGGCTAAAAAGTAATATGTATAATTTTATACCATGAAACCAAATAGATATACTAATTTGATCAAGATATCAGAGTTTACGGTGGTCCAAAAAAATGTAAAGTATATTTACCATTCTTTTAATATTCTATTTCAACTATTAAAAATGAACTTTATCTAAACCTAGTTGCTTTAAAAAAAAAACTAAATTGTTGTAATTATCATGTACTACCAATGGATAATTTAGCACAAATTGTTGTTTGATTAATGAAATAATGCATTTGTACGGTGAATTCACGACGAAGTTTTCGGTAATCATAAGTATTGTTAAAAAATTCATCATTATTGAAGTGATTTCTTATTCGATGATCTAGGGCTTCTGTTTTAAAGAAAGTATGGTTTGTGGAATCAATATCAATCATTGTTTAGGGTTAGGGATTGATATAATTCAAGTCAGATTAGATTTGTAGTATTCTAACTTAATCTGAAAAATAAATTCATCCATTCACATCCGACTTAACTCGCGTTCAGGAAGGTCCCATTCAATCCGAAATCTGACCTAATTTTTTAAGTCAAGACTCACACCTACACCTGCACCATACATACATACTGGGCAAAATCCAATTATATTGTATAAAATTCTTTTAGTTTTACACATTTTTAGAATTATTGGATGATGAAAATTAAAGTTTGAGATTATATATATATATATATATATAATAAGAAGATATTCAATAGGGAAAAAACAATGAGTTAGTTTCAGTCTTTGATTCCCTCAATCCAATGATCCTGAAAAGGTATAAAACTAAAAATAAATTTGTAGAGTGTGAGTGTATCATAACCCAACCTCTAATTTTTCTCATCACATGGTCTTAAAAATGTAAAACTAAAAGAGTTTTACAAAGTATAGTTGGACCTGTCCATATATATATATATAAAACTCTTAGTAGGTAAAATAAGAACCTAATTGAAAAATAAAATAGAAATGCGCATTATTACAATTATTCCTAAATATATAAGAGATAATTATAATATTATGTCGAGTTAGATTTTTTCACCTTAAACCTTAACACAACCTCATTCTTCAAAAAAAAACCTTATCCAAACCTAAATATTTATTTTAAAAATAAAAATTTGACTCGATCAATTCTAATCAAATTAAAACTCATCAAGTCCGAATGAAATGATCCTATCTATATACGTTGTGATTGAATTATCCAAAAAAAAAATTGTCGCATCATTTTGAAAGATTCTTACCCAAAACTAAATGACAACATCATTATTGACATTTGAGTATATTTTATATTTATCATGTCATCAATTGTTAAAATAGTTAATAAAAACACTAAAACAATCTATAAAATCAAAGTTCATATATCAATTCATTAGCAAAAAATCTTTAAATATCAACTTAAAAGAATAGGCGTGATTCATGTTTCAAGTATATATTGAAGCCTTAAAAGTAATTAAAAATATTTAAAAGTTATAATGACTAATTACGAACATAATTAGTCCAATTCCAACTTATTTACCTAAGAATATAAGAATAATTGGAACGTTAATTACGTTTAATTATGAGATCAATCAAATACAATGTTAACCTAAACATGTCATCATATGCTCTGCTATCAGTGTAAATACACCCTTAATTTTTATTACTTTTAAATTTTATGTATCGTTCTTAAAATGTCTCTTGGCAAAGAAAAAAAATAAAAATAAAAAAAGACTATTCAAAGTAGATATATTTCATTATCTTTCATTATAGTAAAATTATAATAGCAAATCAAAATACATTCATTCCTTATTATTATATGCCATGCATAGGCTGATCAGCACACACGTACACTCAACAATTTTATTGTAGATAATTAAGTTGATTTGGAATATTTTAACCAAAATGAGCATTTTAGTAAGGTCTTTGGCCGCGGATATTGCCTGCAGGAGCATAGTTGCAGATAATGAAAGTTCCACCATTGTTGCACCTCACCTTAGCACAGCCGAGACGAACCGAGTTACGCCAAACCACCTGCGTGTAATGCCCGCAGACCCTGCCCGATGCACAGCTGTTGGAATTGTAGTCGTAGTAGGCTCTCTCATTAACCCACAATCTTACCGCATCGGTGCCGGATAGGTCACCGCTGCTCCATGCAAGGTTTTCGCCATACGGTCCACCGGAGTGCACAAGGTTGCAGTCACGAATGCGCTGATTAGCATAGTTTCGTGCATAATTGGCCACGGTGTTGTCCCAAGTCATAGGGCCAACGCGGACGGCTGCTCGAGCTCGGTTGTGAGCGTCAAGGTAGTCTTGCGGTGAGTTTTGGGCGTGGGAAGGAAGGACCAAGGCTAAGGCCATGAGACAAGTAAGAGCTAGAAAGGAAACCTTTGAAAACTCCATTCGAGATTATTACAACGAAGAGGAATTGAAGTGAATTTTACGTGTTTTTGATGGATGTATTTATAGACAATATTTTGGCAGTTGAATGTTCAAAGTAGTTTACATTTCAATAATTCTTCTTTTTATATATGTTTATAAGTTTTCAAGTAATTCATAATTTAAAGCAACTAATTAAATTATACTAAAATATACTCATTGGCTACAATTCACAAAATCAAATCAAATTGTTACTTGATCATAATATTTATATTATATCATAATTAATGTAATGATCCAATTATATATATATATATATATTAATTTACTATTAACTCTCTGTCCCTAATTAATCATATTCATATGAGAATACTATTATATGTTTAAGTCTATTTTGATCCACAATTTTTAAGACTATACAACACAAGTTGTACTGATTGACTTTTGAATAAAAATTGATTTATTACGCTAAAAATGTATAGTTTATAACAAATTAAATTATCACAAAAGATATAAATAATTAAACATGTCATTAGGGGCGGAGCTAGAAAAATTGTTTTAAAATGTCAAATTTAAATAAAATTTATTTTAGAGTCTAAATTTAGAAATTATATGAAGAATTTTTTTTCAACTATATAAAATTTATTTTAGAGTCTAAAATTTAGAAATTATATGAAGAATTATATTGGAGGGGCGGACCCAAGCCTAGGCCTACCTGGGCCATGTCCCCTATGAGTAAATTACTTATTGAATCACTTCGTAATTATTTACTTTTTATTTTGGTCATATAATTATTATTTATTTTAAATCACATTTAATTTACGTTTTGATTTTGTTTTGGTCACTCATCTTTAAAAATTTAGCAGTGATGTTATTGTGTCATCATAAGATAATGTCATATTATGATTGGAAAATAATTAAAAATTTTCATGTTAACATCGTTAATTTTTTTAATTGTGAGTGATCAAATAGAACCAAAATGTAAGATTAACTATGATTTTTAAAAAAAAAATAGTTGAGTGAACAAAACATAAATTAAGTAAAAGACAGGTGACAAAATAGTTATTTTATCTTAAATAAAAAACATGTATGAATTATGTTAAAATTATATTCATCCATTTAATATTTTTTCTAGATTTAATCTATATATATATATATAATTGTTTTATATTTTAAAATCTATATAAAATGAATTAAAAACACGAAAAGTATAAATAATATAATATAATATATAATATAATATAAATACATTTATAACAAAATATTATGCAAACTAATATATTAGAGTTGAATAAATGAAAAAAAATAGAGTTGAATACCTTAAAATAATTATGTATATCCATTCATAGATATCCACAGTTACTTGACCTAGTTAAATTCTTATGATATGATGTAATCTTATTGACAGAATCAATCATATTTTTTTAATATATTCTATATTAACATAACACAGAAATCAACTAATTTATCCAATGGTAATTTGTCTCTCAATTTAATTTTTTAAATAAAATGAGATTTGGGTTGAATTTGTGCATGTATACGTAAGAATTGAATTGAATATGAGAGTCATCCGTGTCCACGTTTCTGCAAAAACTTATCTTCCACTCGTGTATTTCCTTTTCTCTATTTCATTTTGCTACTGAAACCCTAATTTTTTACACGGCGGCTTCCTCCTTTTGGCTGCCTCGTGTCTGCTACCAGATTAATTTTTATCCTCCGTCATTGTCACTTGAAAAACAAAGTAAACAACATTAATTTATTACTTATTCATAAAATATATGTAACGCGAAACAGGTGCTGATGCACCAAGTTTCTATAGGGATCAAGTGTATCTTTGTTGTGTTAAAAAATAGTTAAATTTAGTTTGATGTGTTAAAAAATCACATACCCATTATTTGTAAGAAAATAATATTAAAATTTTGAACTTCCATTCTTAAATTTATGAATTCTTAAATTTTGAACATTTCGTGTCTTAAATTTATGGATTCTTAAATTTTGAACATTTCGTGTCGTTAGATCAAATCTGATCCAAATGGTTTAGGTTTAGGTTTAAGGAAATTTAGGGTTTTACCCTAAACACGTGCTAAGCCCCGCTGCCTCCACGCGCATGTGGTCCTTTGTTTGTGAGATGCGTGTGCCAAGCTCCCATCTCTTGAAGTCGTTACCGTTAGGCATGGCAATGGGCCGGGTTGGGATTTTGGGTCACCCGACCCGAGAAGAAAGGATTCTCCACCCGTGACCCGACCTGATTCGAAGAAATTAAAGTTTCACCCGACCCGACCCAAAAAATATGACTTAGAAACTCGACTCGACCCGAAATAATTAAAAAAATAAATTTTTATTCAATAAAAATAGTGATTTAATTGAAAAAAATTATATATAGAGGGGAAATATTGTAATTATCCCTAAATATATAGGTAAAATTATATATATTTTTCGGGTCGGGTCAGATTTTTTCACCCTAAACTCGATCCGAACTGTGCATTAAAAAAACCCGACCTAAACCCGTATTTTTTAAAAAACAAATCCGACCCTATCGAGTCGGGTCGGATCGAAACCCGTCGAGTTCGGGTTGAGTTGCATCCCTAGTTACCGTCACCACCGAGACATCCGTCGGTCACCATCACCACAGGGAAACGAAAAGGGCCTCAGGGTAAAATATTTATCCCGTCCTTTTCATGAGATCACTGCCGCCTATAGGGCTTTGTCCTTGGTGTTATCTCCTCCTCTGTTAGAGCACACAAAGCCAAGAAAGGTAAAAAATAAATAAAGGAAATCAAAGATCATATTTACCATTCCATGCAACCAAAAATATGTTAAAAAAAGAAGATGTTCTTTCACTCTAAAAGAAGGAAACTTGAAAAAGAAAAACAAAGGAGATTGTTACCTTTGAAAGTCTCTAGATTTTCTCACCGAAGCAAGGGAACCACTCTCCACCGAAGGTAACACCTTGCATGTTCATAAATCGGGTTAGAGAGGCTTGAAGGGTCACGAAAGAGAACTTTTCCTATTAGGTTTTATGATTTTCGAAGCTTTTTGGGTGATTTGGGGCTAAGATCGAGTCGTTTTAGGTCCTAGGCTTGAAAAGGGGTGTTTTCTGACTTAGTTTGGTCATCGTGGCCATGCTTATAGTGGCCGGAGTGAGATTCAATTCATCTCCACGGTGGAGAGATGGAGGAGAGAGGGGAGAGTTGAGAGAAACTTTAGTTTCTCTGTTTGGCAAAAAACAGAAATGGTGCAAATGAGAGGGGAATAGCCATTTTCGCCTAATTTTGGGTTTACATACCTAGCGTCAAACGACATCGTTCAGGGGGATAGGCCCGTTTCAGCGTTTGGTTTAACTACTTCCTCGTTCATTTGTATTTTGTAACCTTTTGATTTAGTCACTAAATGCAATGTTTTAGTCATTTTACTTTGAACTTCAAATTTTATTTGGCATACATTTTAGTCGTCACCCATGCTTTTACATGTTTTGGTCGAATATTTGATATGACCCTTAAATTTTAGATTCAATACATTTTATTCCTTAACTTGTTGTGCGTTAGAAAATGTAATATTCATGCTTTAGGTCCTCCTAGGTTTATTGAATATTTGTTCTGGTCACTGATTAATATGATTACTACGTGGAATAAAACTTATTGATTAGTCCCTATAGTTCCACCCTAGTTCTGGTTTAGTCTACTAATCCTATTTACTTAATATCCATGCTTGATTTAATTTGTTAAGTAATCACATGACCCATGTTTTTTCTAAATATTTCATAAAAAAATGGTAAAATATCCTTAGATTAGTTAATAGTGATCACTAATGTTCATATCAATTTTCAAGAACACACTTCCTAAAATGGGCGTGAAAAGTGTAACCTATCGAGGTAGTACAATTCAATACGATATTCGAACGAAAGTGAACTTGAAAAAATATCGAGTATGCTTTGATAAAAAAAATGCCATAATAATTGTTTTATATTTATAGTAATCACGTGTTATTTTTTGCATGTTGTATTAATTTTAATTTATATTTGATTCATGCTTACTGCAATGCCCCCAAATAAGTAATAAAGAGAATATTCTCATATAGGGAATAGATACAAATCTCGTGATTACTTCTCAAAAGAGGGAATATTCATCTATAGTTCGAACCGAATTAATTAATGAATAATAAAATAAATTGTAAGATAATTCATAATTTTAGTATTCTTTAATTCCTATTACCACAATGATATATAAACGATTAGATATCAATATTGGACGTTGTAGGGGTGGTGCCCCTTCCCCATGTGCAACCGACTCCTGTTCCCTTAAAAATGAATTTTTGGTGAATGCAGATCAATTTGTCTTTAAAAATGATTTTTTTTATTTTTAAAATACGTTTTTAGGTATTCGACCTACCTAACTCAAAGGTCGATGACAAATCCGAATTAAATCAATTCCATAATAACTAAATTTTCAAATAAAAATAATAAATCATTTTTTGTTTTGAAAAAAACGTTACGACAGCTTGACGACTTTGCTGGGATTTATTTAGAGAGTCACACTGATAATCACTTATACATCATCGTGGTATTGAATATTAGGAAACTTAAATAAAAAATTATCTTATTATTGATTCATTGGATATTGATTAATTCTTTTCGAAGTGTTTATTAATAGTTGTACTAATCTTTGAATTTTTGTTTTTAGATTTGACAAATATATTTATAGGTGCATCTTTAATGTGGGGCGTCTTGTTTGAACAAAGGTTTGTATGCTCCTCTTCACACACTACACTTGCAGCACATGACATAAGCTCTATACCTGAGTTCCGTCCCGATAAAATAGGGTTGAACATTATGCTTTCAGGGTTAATTTATTCCCCGTATGAGCTATAGCCACTCGCCTATGAGATACACACTTTGTACCTCGTGGGAATTTATTTCCTCGTATGGGTACAAGGAGGTGGATCTCCTTGAATTGAACTTGTTTTGTTTGAAGCCTGTAATGGATGAGCATCGGGGGATTGTCAATCTAATGGGGCAACAACATCAATGACAATTCGATTACCCTTTCCTTTAGAGCAAAACCATGCATATAGTGAA